CCTTGGTCCTTCAGGATGATGCAAGAGTGTCAAGAGGATGCCTGCTGTGCAGTGGGTTACTTTATAGGGAGGAACTCAGAGAGGTTCTTCTCACAGTGTGAACATTTGCCCCAGGGGGAGACACACACTCTCTTCCAAGATTTTTATGCAAATGCAGTTTGTAACAAAGGGGTTTGCTTGCAAGATGTGCAGAAATGTGAAAGACCCATGGAAGATTCTGCCCAACTACCGCTCAGGACTCAGTATCTTTTGTAGCAAGCAGCAAACAACCCAGTTCTCTTCCTCCAGGAATCGAGTAGTCCCACACAGTCATACTATGGTGGCTTATCTTTACTTGTTCATTTCCCCCCTAAGCTAATAAAAAAGAAAGCAAATAAACCCAAACCATGTATCAGTCATCACTTGGCTCTCCCAGCCTTTACCTCTAACCACATCAACACTCCCCACCCAGACTTCCCTTTTCATTCTCATCTCTGTTTCTTCCCCTGCTGCTGTACCCCACCCTCCAGTTTTGCAGACATATGCCTTTACCAAGGTTTTCCCCAGGACTAGGTGTCTGCATGATCCTCCACCTCCACTCTTCCTCTCTCACTTGATGCTTCAAGGAGTCTGTGTGAGAAGATAGTTCTAGTGTTGCTGTTTTTCATTCTTCTGTTGTGCACTGTGTCCTCAAGAATGCATCCCTGCAAGACAAAGGCTTGGCGGGATGGTGGTGGTGATGGTAGTGGTAGTGGGGGACAGACCAACTTTGCTTGGTCCCAGGATTAATACAAAATCATTTCTCTTTTGTGATATGAAAATGGAATCGTAGAAAATGTTCCAGGAATTTTGCAACCTGCAAAAGCCTGTTTATTCTCCTTTTTTCCTATAAATTTTAAGTTCCAGTTTTACTACTTTGATAATTATATAAGTTAGAAAAAATGATTAAGTCTTTAATTCTGTTATCTAAAACAATCATGAATAAATATGTCTTAGTGCTACACAAAATGAAATCGAAGTGAATGTAATACTTAGGGCCCTAGGGTAAAAAAATCATTCTTTGTTTACTAGGGATGAAACTGCCTTTCTGGAAAGTGTGCCATAATGCTATAGACTTGAAACTTGTAAAGGTCTCTTTAGATACTTATAAGAAAGAAGAAGAGTTTTGATCTCTCTCTCTCTCTCTCTCTCTCAGAAATAGAAGTTTTTATCTGGTTGTTCAAAAATATTTTTTTCATTTCTTCAAATTTAGATTGATGCAGTTAACTTTCTTTAATTTTTTCAGTCTGTATGAGTAATTTCCTTATGTTAGTAATGTTTGGAGGATTCGGTGGCTTCTAGTTCTGGCTGGATCCTGTGAGGCACTGCAGTTTTCAGGTAGGAACCCTTCTAGTTTGTATTATAGCCAGCCTCCTGGTGTTCCTTCCAGACACTGATTAGCATGGAAGGAAATCCAAGGAAACACTGTGGTCATGGTAAATAGTGCCCTGTGGACCCCTGTTGTAGGCAGATTTTGTTGAGTCATAGGCTTCAACATCTCCCAGTGTGAAGGAACATCTTCAGTGCTACATATCTTCCTTATCTTCCTCAACCTGTACTAGTTTAGAAGGCATTGAAAAGCTTTCCCTCAGACAGTTGAGCTTTATGCTAAATATACCATCTGACCTACTATTTTTTAACACTTAAGATGTAATTTTTATCATAAGAATAGGAACTCAGTGGAATCTCTTTTTCAGTATGTATTAGTGACTGACTAATAGGAATTTTTCTATTAACCCAAAGTTTTAAAATCCAGGCATAATTTTAACCTGTTTATATCTACACATTTAAATTTATTTTTGAAAAGTCAGTAGGAAAATGACTTTTCAGTTCTATAAGTTGAAAAACACACATTTTATCTTGCTAGTTCATTGCTTGAAAAACAATAGGCTGGTACAAGGAATTTTCCTCCAAAGAGTAAAAAACATTGAAAATTTAAAACTGTGCATGCATGGAGGAGAAACTAATATGCTTTAAGAAACTCTCAGTTTTCTGAGAATGAAAATGTTCATGAAAACTGACCACTGCTGGATTTAGTATTAGTACTTAAAATGAGTTTTCTTTTTTGTAACATCGGCAAATTCTATTTGATTAATTTGCCTCAGTTTAAACTGTTCTATTTGTTTTAGTTTTCTTTTACTATTAAAATATATAAAAAGAACCTGTATGTTTCCAGATGTTGAAATTTTTGAAACATGAATACATCTAATCAGCCCAGGCAATGTTAAATTATTCTTCACAGTTGTATTAGTTCTGTTTGCTTACAGATTGTTCTGCATTAATAGGCAAAAAACAAAAAGAAAAAGAAAGAAAAAATAGTTGCATTTGGTAAAACAATTTCAAAAAAATCAAAACTGACCTTTAAAAAAATTTTAAACTGTTCTTTCCAGGTTAACTCATCATTTTCCCTGAGAACCACAGGGGCAGAGGATTCTAGTGTTTTCTTTCAAGTTGGTTTTACCCAGAATATCTGCTCCAAACCAATCCGGGATTAGAACATAGTTTTGTTGAGATGTGAATATACCCTTCCCCTTGAAGTAAGATTTGTTTCTGAAAAACAAAAAAGAATCAATTCTTCTTTAGAAACAGTTGGTGTTTAGCCCTTTTAATGAAGCCCTTGTGCTATTTTGACCTGCTTTTGATGTATTAACTTATTTGAATGTTTATTATTTGCATTAGCTGTGAATGTGTTAGATTCTGAGGTAATTCTTGGTGTGTATACAAGGAATTTGTGATAATATAGGAAAAATATCTATTATGATAGTTTAAAAAACCCAAAGAACCAAAAATTATATATGTAGCATCATTATAAAAGTTTAAGATTGGAATTGAAGCCAAATTACTATTAGTATTCTCAACTCCTTTTCATTTTTGATTCATGATCATTGTATAAATTCTGTAAGTATAAACACACATATACATATTTCTGTCTTTTTAATTCTTTTTTTCTGTACAATTGTCCGTTGCAGCATGTGTTGCTAAGATTGAAAAGACTTCATTTAGTTGTAATTAGATTTTTACCTCAAATCAATGGCTTTTACCATTTAATGATGAAAGTTAAGTGCCATCCATATATATCCATGAGTTGATAAGCTTTTAGCACTATGCTAGAGGAGATTAAAAAAGAATTTAATATAGTCTGTGTCTTTTAGAACTTTATCTGGTGGGGGAGAGTGTGCAAATCATAACACACATTGTTTATAAATCAGTTTAAATGAGGTTGCTGAGTAGAATATGATTAAATGTCAAAATTTGTGCTATGTACTGTTGGAGTTCAAAGTAAAGGAGATTCATCCAAATCTGAAGTATCGGGCAAGACCCAGATGGAACCAGAGCTTTAAGTTCATGTTGGGTAAATAGGTAGTATCCGAGGGAAATAAAATATATAGAAGAGGGTGAATTTAACTTTAAATAATAACTTTATCTTTACCTGGCTAGTGTGTGTGTGTGTGTGTGTGTGTGTGTGTTTTAGACCTTTATTTTATTTTGTTTTATTTTTATGTGATGCTGGGGATCGAACCAAGTGCTTCACTCATGCTAGGCAAGCACTCTACCACTGAGCCACAGCCCAGGCCCCTAATGTGTTCTTTTTAAAGGATCATTAAGAATTCAGTTTCTTATAGGAATAGAAATCAACAAAGCACCATACCCGTAATGACAGCAGCAAAACTGATTGTCACTGGAGCTGAACTGGGTGAGGAATTTTAGTCTGAGGGTCGAAGAGACACTTGAGGTTGGGGAGAAACCAGGCTGAGGTGAACCAGGAGGTTTCTTTGAATATTTAAAAGCCCTTTGCAAACAATGGCTGCCTTTCTTTGCAACTGATGTTATTAAAGGAATTACAGAGTGTATTTTATATTAAGATAATAATCTGTAAATCCCTTGGGCAGGTTATCTTTACCTTGCAGTATACATTTTTTTACATTTATGATTTGATAACAAGAATTCTGAATCTTTCTAAAAAGACTACTTTTTAAAAGATTTCATTTAAAACAGTAGTTTTTAAAAATTCTTTCAGAACTGAAGACTATAACAGAGAACACTCAAAATCATTTGCCACAATTGGAAATGGAGTGTGGGGGGTGGGGAGTGGGTCATAAAATGTTTCAGTGTCCATGTTTGTGCTCCAGCTTTATTTATCTGCCTTGTGAAATAACTATCATCTGATTTTGAGTTGCTTAACTGGAAAACCATTAAGAAAAGCCAGTTTAATCCCTTTACTATTTTTAAAGAATAGTTTCCTTTTGAAATTATAAACAGTTTACTGTTTTCAATATTGAATGCCTACCTAAATGAATATTTAAAATATTGTAGCATGAATAATTTTAAAAATAGAGAATACATTCCTAGATTCTGAATAGATTTAGAACTTAATACACATATCGGTTTTTTAGGGATGAATGTAAAATGGACAAGGATCGAATGTGAGAGTATTTAAATGGTTCTCAAGATTTTCTGGTTCATGTGTTGTGATATTGAACTCTTTAGTCTTAGGCTTTAATTTGTGCCTGGTGCTGACCTGATGCTGTGCAGGGACACTCACTGCATCCCTCCATTCAGTCCCTCTAATTATCCCAACTTCCTGGGGAGCTTGCTTAGAAGTGGGCATGAGCGCTTGTTATTAAAATATCGGGTTCCTGGCTACATGCAACAAGGTAGTTTTTGATATCAGATTTATGTATAGATGAACTGAATAGGAAGCTACGGTTGTTTGCTGTGATTTTACTTAAATAGGTAGGGGATATTATGAAAATTATTTGGTTAGACAATGGATTATTAGGCTTTTAATAAATGAAATTGTGGGCAGTGCAGTTCCTGAGCCTTTTTGGTGCTTTGTTATTTTTTTAGTGCACATTCAAAAAGAAATCCAAGTCTGTAAATGATAGGTGAAATGATCAGATTTGTGGTTTTGTGTATATTTGTGGATGACTGTGATTCCTTTTGCTGGGAGCATCTGTTAATGCAGGGATTTGTCTCTTCAGGTTCACGTGAAAATGGCGGATGAGGCCGTCTGTGTTGGCCCAGCTCCCACCAGTAAAAGCTACCTCAACATGGATGCCATCATGGAAGCCATTAAGAAAACCAGGGCCCAAGCTGTGAGTCTGAATGAGCCCATCTACTGCAGCTGTTTCATATGTAGTGAGCAGAAAGCTAGAGTTTGTATTAAAAAAAAAAAAATAAGAAAGAATGATTGAAAATGCTGTTGCAGTTAGTTCATGTCACATGAGTTAAATGTGGCCGAATTCGCTACTGGAAATCAAAGGCTTTGTAGCATCTGGCAGTGTTGGTCGCTGATCCTGCAGGTGGCTGCTGGATTCAGCTTTCACACCAGGGAGCAGTTTCAGTTCATTTCCAAATTTGCTAGGAAAAAGAAATCCCAATTAGTTTTGAGTATTAACCCTTTCAGTGTAATAAGAGCATTAAAAAACCCACCAAAACCAAAAAAAGGAAAAAACTGTTATAAACAGAATCCAAAAGACCTTGTTTGAGTTTCATTTTAGTCATTTAAGAATTATGTACACGTAGTTAAATTTCCAGAAATATAAAAAGTATATTTAGTAGTTATTTTGGTTTGTTAATGTCAATAAAATGCCCATAACTTACTAATAAATCTATAATTTTCTGCGCCTCAATTTGCCTTGAATGGAGTAGGATCCACAATGAAGTGGATGGTTTCTGACATGAGAAATAGTGGGTTATTTTGTTTTGTTTTTAATATCAGAGAACTAATTACATAAGATGTTAAAAACTATGCAGAGCTATCTCTAAAATTGAGTGGAAGCAGCCAACACTGGCAGTTAGCCTGGAGTGCTTCAATTAGTGCTCACAGTTCTTTGAAAGAAATGTTTTAGTAAGATACACGTTTAAATAAAAAACTGAATTCATGAACCCATATTATAGATTTTCACAGTTTATCAGCACAGTTAAAGAAAGTAAAACTCTTTCAATGTTTTTAACTATAGCTTGTCAGAAGACAGCCTTTAGTTGAATGTTTATATAAAATGAAATTGGTGGAAAACTTTTTTCATAAATTTGGAAATGAAGCAAATTTAAACTCCATAATCTAAATTCTTCTGTGTCATGTTAATAAAACTCAGTTCAGTTACTTCTAGGTTATGATATTGGCTTCTTCAGAAATGTGACTTTCCTTTCAGCAGAATTGTTTTACTAGAAATTTGTTCAACACTGCCTGGTACTGCAGTGGCTAAATTTATGTTTGGCCCATGTGATAGAATAAAAACTGACTTGATTAGAGTAGGATTTAGATTGTGGCATATGGGGGAGGGTAGCATAGTGTAGATGTGAATGTCTGAATCTGGGGTGAGGAAGAAAGAAGGAAAAAAAATTCAGAGTACAAAGTAAAAGTTAAAGCAAAGCCTTGATTTTAGTTTAATTTGAGGGAAAAGGCTCATTGGCTAGTGGCTGTGTATCTTATGCCATCAGGAATAAAATGTGTCAGTTGGCTTAGTAGCTGGGTTTTGGAAGATGGCAGTTCCTGCTACTGGAAAGAAGGGGAATTCAGAGTTTTTCATCCATCTTGCTGAAGTTTCCTCTAATGTATTTCTTTGAGGTATCAGCCATGGTGAAATTCTCTAAACATGACCAAAAAATAGAGGGAGTTTATGTTATGTAGACAAAGAGCAGGAAGATTGTAGGTATATGGCTGTGATTAAGGTTGGGACAAAGCAGGGATTTGATTCTCTTCCCAGAAGTGTGTGTTACAGCTGATCAGTGTGTGAGGAGTAACTTCAGTCAAGGACTGTTGAAGAACAAACACATGCATACACCACATCTGCTGCTCATACAGGTTTTGCAATATGCTAAAATTGAAAGAGCTTTTTATTTTCATTTCTAAGGTACATCCAGGTTATGGATTCCTTTCAGAAAACAAAGAATTTGCCAAGTGTTTGGTAAGTTTGTAATGAACCAGAAATTGTTAACCTAGATTTCAGAAAGCAATATCGTGGCATGGCTTTTGTAAATGTGGGTAGTGATAAATTATAGAATTCTAATTCATCCTATCGATTCTTCTTCTTCTTCTTCTTTTTTTTTTGGGGGGGTGCGGGGGATCAAAACCAGGGCCTTGTTGCATGCAAGGCAAGCACTCCACCAACTGAACTATATCCCCAGACCTCAAATCTTTAAAAACTGTGAAAAATGAAGAGTTTTTATTCCATACCTCAAGTCTTGATTTGAAAAGTAATTATAAAAGTAGAAAAGCTATAAAATCATATTATATCTAATTTATTGTATATTGAATGGTCTTTAAATTTTAGATTTTAAATGTAAATGTGTCAGGCAATTTAGTGATACATTAGTGATTTAAATATTACACCATAAATATTGAATATTAAATTAGAAGTAAGGTTCTAATTTTTCCCCTTTTATTGCAAATCATATGTAAAATCAAATCTTATTGTTTCCTAGTTTAGGATTTTTTTTTTTTTTTAAACGAGCTCAATATTCTCCTAATATCACCATCCTAATTAGATTAATTAACCTGAATTTGCTATTAAACTTGCTTTCCAGGAGTATTTATCAGTAGGTTTTAGGCACAACATATGATTTTGATTAATGTTTGTTAATTTTTTGGTGATTAGAGAAATTATGCCATATGTTACATTGTCTTCATGCTAATATGGTAAGACTTTTTTTCCCCCTTTGGAAATTTGCATTTTGTTCTGTAGATTCAAAATTATTTAAAATCATTTTCTAGATGAAATTTCCATGTAAAAATCTGTAAATTTACCTTGGGAAAGTCCTTAATATCATAGAGTCCTACCTTAGAATTATCTATTTTAACTAGTTTTATGGATTAAAAACTAAGGCCTAAATATATACCTGGAGAGGAAAAGTTTGATGGAAGTATTTAAAGGTCTACATTTACCAGATTTGATCCAGCATATTCCAGTTTTTCTTGTGTAAATCTCTTTTTCTTTTTCTATTCTTTGGAATTTTGAGTGTTATAAAAATGATTTGAATATAATGCTTATGTTTAAATGTTCATGGATAATATAATACATTAAATTTGTTTAGATGAAGTGTTAGCAAACTATAGTTCATGGGACAAATACAGCTGCCCTTTGTAAATAAAATTTATTAAAACACAACTAAGCCCTTTGTAAATAAAATTTATTAAAACACAACTATGTGCATTGTCTGTGGCTGCTTTTGCCCAATAACAACAGAGTTGAGTAATTGTGACAGAGATTGGCTTGACGAGCCTATCTTATAGATCCTTATGAAGTTTAGCCTAGCAGCTTGGGAGGCTGAGGCAAGTGGATCATGAGTTCAAAGCCAGCCTCAGCAAAAGCGAGGCACTAAGCAACTCAGTGAGACTCTGTCTCTAAATAAAATACAAAATAGGGCTGGGGATGTAGCTCAGTGGTCCAGTGCCCCTGAGTTCATCCCCTGGTACCAAAAAAATAAATAAAATAAATAAAAAATGTAGCAACTCCTAGTTTCATTCATATATTTAGTCAATATAAATATAAATATATTCATTATTAATATAATTAATATATAAATAATATATTAATATATAAAATTATATTCATTATTAATATAATTAATATATTAATATATAATTACATATATTATTAATATGATTAATATATTAATATATAATATATTAATATAAAACTAAATATATTCATTCATATATTTAGTCAATCATTAAAAAATGTTTATTTGGAATTTATGTCTAGGATATTTGATAAGGATATGAAAATAAATCAGATATGAGTTTGCATTCCAGAACTCATGTTGCAGAAAATAAGTCAGCAAGTGATTTCAATTCAGGGAAGAGAAGAGATCAAATTCTCTATAAATGAAGACAAGAAAAATTATTTCTAGCCTGTCATGGTGGCACATGCATGAAATCTCAGCTGCTTGGAAGGCTAAAGCAAGGGCTTTGCGAGTTTGAAACCAGCTGGGCAACTTAGTGAGTCTCTCTCTCTCTCTCTCTCTCTCTCTCACACACACACACACACACACACACACACACACACACACACACACAGGTGAGGGATATAGCTCAGTGGTAGAGCACCCCTGGGATTAACCCCCAGTACTGGAAGGAAAAAAAGTCCTTAAAAAAAAATTTTTTTTTTTTTTGAAAATTTTTATTTACAGATGGACACAATACCTTTATTTCATTTATTTATGTGGTGCTGAGGATCCAACCCAGTGCCCTATGCATGCGAGGCAAGTGCTCTACCACTGAGCTACAACACAACATAAGATCTTTGGATTTTATGTCCCAATCCAAATATGGCTGGCTCTTTCCTGTTACATGCTTTTCTTCACTATCCTCAGTGGCATGCCTGCCACATTTCCTACTCTCATTCCTTAAAGGCTCAGCTCCTTTGTTACCTTTACTGGGAGAGCTTTCTTCATCCTTCTAGAGAGATGTAATATTTTTCCTATGTCTTCTAGAGCACTTTAAAAAATTTTGGAAATTCATATTTGGTGTACTGCCCTCCATGTTATGTTAAACTTGTTTCTGTTATTTAATCTCTTATTGAAAAAAGAACCTTGATTTCATTAGTCTCCCCCACCCCTCGCCTGTGTCATCTATCCTAAAGATTTCTACAAAGTAAGATCAATAAATGTTTATGGAGGATTAAATAGTATTAATAAAAATTACAAGACATTCAGCCTGTAAGAGAACTTTCTCCTATCATCAAAAAGACTGTTTTGTAACTAGAAGGCAGTATTGCTGTCTATTTTTATTCCCTATGAAAATATGTGGCTTGTAGTCCCTCTTCTTTCCTCTGTGCAGGAGGGCAGATTCTTGTTTGTGACATAGTTTCCTTAGTGTTAAATATTTTCCCATCAGAGTATACCATTTAAGATATTCCTTTTAAAATACCTGATTCTAGGTGGTAAGTTCCATAAAAATAACAATGAAATAAAATTACTTAAAGATTCTGTCATGCACATAAATGGAATTTGTGTGATTGGTGGCCAAATGTGGTAGTTTTTATTCTAACCAGGGTATATTCTTAGAAATCTGATTATTTTGAGTGCCATAACATGGATTGCCACATTGATGGTAACTTTTAGTAAGGAAGACTTGCAGAAGATTTAAAGTCTTTCTTTTTTAGTTTGGTATTGTGGAATTCCTTTATTGTAAATACATGTCATGCTTGAAATTTAATCAAATGTGGAAATTTTTCATTAGTTTTTGATTTTCTTTATTGTCATACAAATAGTGTGATGATTTTTTTTTGCTTATAGAGAATCTATTTGTGCCTTATCAATCTGATATGTTCCCACTTATTATCTGTAAAAAAATTATTTTTTCTGAATAATTGGCTATATATGTTTGCTTTAAATATGTAACAAACTAAATTCCCCCAAATGTAAACATATACTAAATTTTATAAGACTGATTATTCTTTATGCTTATTTTGCATGAAATGGGATTGGATTACAATGATCCTTCCTGTACATGATTTGAACAAAACCATTTCTTATTGTTTGTTATTGCTTAATTAATTTATTTTAAAAATCTATAAATAGCTCATGAAGAGTAGCAGTTTTCAATAATTTTAATGTGTTGAGCAAACAGATTGCATTTTCAAACTGTTTTCCATTCTGTATTTCTCCTCTGGGCTTTTAAAATTCTGAACAGTAAAAGACCAGCAATAGGAGAATGTAAGGATTGTTAGGATTAAGTTCTTTCAGAGATTACAAAAAAGCTTTGAAAAGTAAAACTACCAGCTTCTGAAAAAAGGGATGTTGGTTGAAAGGCATTTTGTACTCTTGCAAGTTCTCTTTCTTTCTGGTATGTTTGTGTATATATGTATATTTTAATCATATCTTGTCATTTTAGTCCCACATAGCAGTATGTTATAGCATTTAGTCTTACAAGACATTTATATGTTAGATTTAATAATTGTGTATTATGTTTGGGTCTTATCCATGTCCATGACTGTGTGTATAGACAGTTCTCTTCAGGATGCTTATCACTGAAGGCATAGATGGGAAGTATGGGATGCAGTTGAGGTCTGTGGATTGTATTTTTTCATCTTCTTTCCTTACAGAATTTTTAGCAAAGTAAGGACTGTAGGACTGTAACTGTAACAAAAAATAATGAGATACATTTAAAAAAAAATTCATTGGATTAGCCAAAATAATTTTGAAGAGCTTTGACATCTAGTGTAGGCAAGGGTAAAAGAAAGTAGTTTTGTTCTTGGAAGTGTAAATTATTTCAGCCCCTCTCCCCATCCCTGGCATTTGCTAGTATCTATAAAAATCTAAAACATATAAACATGTATTCACATAAAACATATATTATTTGACTCAGCAATTCCAGTCATAAGAATCTCATCTGCAAAGATATAATTGAAAAAAATGTTCGTTGTGAGGTCTTTTGTAATAGCAAAATTTGGAAATAGCTCAAAAATTTTTCATCTGGAAAATGAAGAGAATGACAGCTTCCCTGCAGGGTTGTTGTAAAGATTAGAAGCAACAAATATAAAGAACCTAACATGAAGGCTAGCATTGCCAGGCAAATCACCTTCATCATTACAGATGGGAATAATATTACTTCAGTTGGTGGGGGGGCTACTAAATATTTTTCAGGGGAATGAAACAGTTAAAATTAGTGTTTTTGGGAAATTCATCTGATAGTTTTTATGTGTGTTTTGGAATTTAGGTTTCTTCTTGTTGAGATGAATGATTTGGTACAGCACTACTGCTGTATACAGAAGCATGGTCCTGTAGTTTAGACATGAATGATCTCTCATTTAATTCACTCAAACATTGGACACTATTCACTCTAACAAAAAGAAAACAGATTCAGGTGCAGCAACTGGTTAACAATCACACGATGCTGGTTAGCAACAGAAACAGGACATCACTGTAGTCTTAAGTACAGAGCTCAAGAAAAGAAAAATAAAAA